CTCCGGGGAGGGAAAAACGCGCCAGCTCAGCCCCGGTCCCGTCCCTTCGAGGTTTCCAATTAATGGAATAGCTGCTCGAGCACCAGCCGAGCAGGGCGAGGGCATCTGCTCTCTGTTTCCCTCCGGCTCAGAGCTGCCCACAAAGAGCTCCGCGTTTGCCGCGGTGCGCGCACACAAACCCGGAGCAACCTCGCGCACAAACCCGGAGCAACCGCGCCCAGAAACGGGTGTTTGCACCGGCAGAAAGCGACGCCGAGATTTAGGGCGGGAGGGTGAAATCGGTGGTAAATCAAGAGCGAATCCCCCCCCGCCCCTCCCGCCCCGGGTACTCACGGAGGATGCTGCGGGCTCGGGGCGCTCCCGCGGCCGCTCCGGCTCCTTCCCCCGGCCGGGGCTCGCCCGCCGCCCCTTGCCCGGCCCGGGGACAGCCCGGTGCCGCTGTCGCTGCCGCCGCAGCCCCGGCACAGCCCCGGTACAGCCCCGGCACGGCCCCGCCGCCCGCAGGTGCCTCCCCGGGGCCGCCCAGCCCGGCCCGGCCCCCGGCACCGCCTCCGCGGGTGCCCCCGGCACGGCCGGGCAGCGGCTGGAAGGGGGATGGATGATGGAAGGCTCTGGGATACGATCCCCTCACCACCACCCCCAGCTCACAGCCAGAGCGCCGGAGGTTTGGGAACAGCCCGAGTCCCGCGGCGCTTCAGCGCCCAAAGGTCTTCCAGGCACTTCGGGGGAAGGATCCCAAACGCGTCCATCCCGGGTGGTTCTGTCCACTCGTCGGGATCAAGCTGGAAAGGAATCCTTGTCTTTAACCTGTGCTTTATCGATGGCTTTATCCTCCTAGAGAGTGGGGAAGAAGTGTGTGACCACAGTCCCTGTCTGGATTTTTCCTGTGGAAATCCCACTTATAAAAGGGATCTGCCCCCTGCCCAGACCTGATGCTGCTCCCACGGGAAACCAGGAAACCACATGAACAAGCCACAGCCCTCAGTCCAGGCTCAGCTCGTGGTTTAGGATTGTTGTGCAGATGTTTCCCCCCCCATCCTCCGGTTCAGCTTCCCCAGCTGCAACCAGAGCCACCATCCCTGTTACAATCCACCTGAAACACAGGGGTGGAACCTGCCCCTTACAAAGTCCTGCCTCCACACGCAAAGGCAGCAACAGGGGCATCCCAACAGTCCATAAACATTTGCAGTGGATTTCTTGGGAAGACCAGAGCACGGCACAGCCTGAAAAGTTGGGATGAGGAATGAGGTGCTTCCTTACCTCGCAGCTCTCTGCCTCTTCCTGGGTGAGAAATGTTCACTCTGGGTCTGTGCACGATGATCTGTAGGTTCACCACGTAAAGCACTTCGGGGAGCCATTGGCAAAGATGTCAAATATAAACCTGAACTTGGATTTATAAACCTGAACTTGGATTTATAAACCTGAACTTGGATTTATA